ATGGACATCAATTTTCCTGGTAATTGGAAAGTTAGTTCCTGCTTTTTCATTTATCTCTTGGTAGTTAGTTGGAAGTGGGAGTTTGCTTGAAAGAATAATTTGTTCATTGTTATTTGTATTGCTGGTTAAGTTTGAGTTAAGATTGTAGTTTGGCATGAAGGAAAATTGATCTATTATTTGGAGAGAGGGCTAGTGAAGATATATTTTTTGGCAAGTGTTTTGAAGAAAAAGAGGATATTATTGGAATTTGTTACTGAAAGTAGAATGTTAGTTTCAAGTTTGGCTTTATTAGAAGAAGAGGGAAGTTTTATTCTAATATAGAAGAAGTTATTGGATAAGAATTTGAAGTAGTAAGTTTTTCTGAGTAAAGTTATGATTTCCTGTAGAGTATGGAGGCTGTTTCTTGAATTGAAAGAGAATAAATATTTGTATTTTGGATCTAGGAGTTGATGGATCGTTGGGAGTGGTTTTTTTGGTGGTGGAAGATTAAAGTAGATGTCAAGTAGTTTGGAAGGAACTTTGTATTCTTCACGAAGGTAGTTTTTATAATTAGAAAGATTGATGAAATCATATCTTTTTTTGATGTGAAAGATACCTTTATATTTAGTTAGGAGGTCATTTGGATCTTCAGGAAAAGAAGGATTTTCTTTAAAATAAGTAGCAAGAAGTTTGTCAAATTTGTAGTGGGAGCCTAAGATTCGAAGAGTTACGATTAAATTGGCCTTGTCTGGTATTGAAAGTTTGATGGGGAGTTTGATTTTGATTTGGGAATGAATTTTTGTTGGTTTGGATGAGAGATTAGGAAGAAAATCAATGATGTGTTTTTTGAGTTTGTCTCTGATAGAAATAGAGTCAAGGATGAAGGTTGGTTTTTTGATGAAATAGTTGATGAGATAGGTGAGAAGGCTTGCAAGTTCATAGTAGAGAGTATTTTTGATATCAATGGTACATAGGTATATAATTGATAGTATTGTGCAAATTATAGCATAAATTTTTTTCCTGGTTTCGAAGTTGATAAAATTGAGATTGTTTTTTCTTTTGTATTTGTCCTGAAAATCTTTTTCGATTTCAATGAATTCTTTTTGGTAGGCTGGCATGAGGTTTTCATTTTTTGTGAAGGAACTGAAGAATGTACAGTCTTTGAATCTGATTTTATTAATTATCACTTTTAGATGATAGGGTGGGTATTGAGAGAGTTTAGTGATCGTGTCTATAGTTTGAATTAGGATTTGAATGTTGTTTGGTGCTGGAAGTAGGTTGTTAACTAGTTTTTCTATATCAGTTCTAAGTGTTTCATACTGGTTGATATCTCTGATATCTTATAGTTCTTCTTGAACTTGTTGCTCGAAAGAGAATGTCCAAGCATATAAAGTAGTTTTGGGTTGTGTGATGGATTTTGCTAGTTCGTCAAGATCGACAACATTATTGATTACCATGAAATTTGATTAGTTTGTAGGAAGAATTTCACTGATTTCCATACTAAAGTTGGATGTTACCATGCGAGTGTCAAGAGAGAAAGTTAGAGTAACGTTTGTTTGATTGGTTTGTTTGGATTTAACAGAATTCAGATCAGATAATTTTATTGGTATATCAGTTGTTATGCTAGTTTCTATGGAATTACTGATTTGAAAAAGTGTTGGAGTGATAGACGAGAAGCTTGCATATGTATACATTGTGGTTATTTAATTTACATTCCTTTTTTGGGAGACAAGAGATGTAATAGACAGAAGATCATTTTCAAGGGTAAGCTGGTTGGGGTTTTTTGTAATTCCTTAGAAAAGTGAAAGAAATTCTTGTGGGCGATTATAAAGTTCTATGTTGAGTTTTGTTTTTTCCATTTTTTTCGCTATTTTACTAATATATTGAAAGTTAAGGGAGATGTTTCTGTTGTTGACAAGTGAAATTCTGGTTTGAGTGAATCTTCCTTGGTTCTTTTTCCTAATGATTTCTATTGTAAAGTTGAGGATGCGGATGTCATTTGTAGAGCCTAAAGTGACGATTTTTTTAATATCTTTTCCTTCTCTTATAATATGAAATTGGTTAGGGAAGTTTGTTAGGTTGGTGATAAAGTGGAAACGAATAGGTTCTGTCCTGATAATTTTGTTATTGTTGAGATTAAAGTAATAAATTTGAGAGAGTTGATTTCAGTTCTGATGAATAGTCACATGTAGAAACTGTTTTTTGTTGCTGTTTGTTGGTGATTGCTTCATGATAAGAGTTATTTAATGGTTAAAAGCACTTGGAAGTGCTTGGAGGTGAACAGTTTCTTGGAGAGTTATTGCCAAATAAGGAAATTTTCAGTTAAAAATTGATTTGTGAAAAAGTGTTTTTTTTTTATTGTATATAAATATTTTGATGGGAAAATTGTTGTTAGATGTGAGAATTTTTATTGAGAAGCTAATTGTGAACAAGTTTAAACAGGTTTGATGTTGTTGTTAAGAAGTAAAGATATTCTATTAATAATTTGTTGAGTGTAGATTTTTGGATAGAATGAAACTAATTGTAGTTTTTTAAGTGGATTTGAAAAAATTGTAGAATAGTAGAAAAATAATGCATGATATTGTTTTTAAATAGACAAGAGAAATAATAAATATTTCGAAAGTTGTGTTAAGACAAACATTAAATTTAGTAACTTTGTTTGAATGTATTGTTAAAGTTGAATTTATGTTGTAGAGAGTCAAAGATAAAAGAGAAAAAGATTATTATAGTCATAAAGAGGAAGGTATCTAAAGACAAAAAATTATGAAGAAAGGCTGTTATGGGCCTTTCTCATGCAACCAAGAGCTAAGTAAGACTTTATTTGCTTAAGTCTTGACCAGAGATCTCATTTCAATGCAATAGTGTTCCTTGAAGTCTTTATGGTCTTTGGGTTTAAAGCTTATTTGTCTTAAAAAGTAAAGAGAAAATGATGCTTCTTGAAAGAATATTTTCTAAAAATGAAATTTTCAAAAAATCAACAGTAAACAAATAAGAGTTTTTTTTTTTCTATTATATAGTTTTTTATATTTGCATTATAAGAATACATGAATTTGTTTTTTATTATTAAAACATTTTTATATTTTAATTGCTTAAATATATAATTTATGAAAAAATTTGTTTTGAAATCTATTAGTTAAAAAATATTTATTTATTAGTTTTTTTTATTAAAAAATAATGATTTTTAAGAATTTTTAAAACTTTTTAAAAAAAGTTACTTAAAATTATATATAAAAAAATGGTATTAAAAATTTTTTTATTAATGTTTTTGTTATCTTCAAAATTAATTACCCATATTTTTATTTAACAAAATAATATATTAAAATAACTTAAAAAATTATTTTATTATATATTTTTTATAATTTACATTTAAAAAATATTTTTTTTTCAAATTAAAATTCAATAATAATAATAATAATTTTTAAAAAATATTTTAAGAAAAACTTATTTATTGTATTTTAAATATATATATTTAAAACTTTATTTTATTTTATTAAATGAATAATAAAAATATAAAGATTTAATTTTAATTTTTTTATCAGGAATATATGTTCAATACAATATTCAATAAACAAGATATAAGCTATCTATTATAAAAAAAAAGTCAATATATACTTTAAAGTTAAGGAAGATTATTCTTTATTATATATAAACTTTAGATATATTATTTTTTAATTTGATAAAAAGTATAATAGTAAGTAATCTTACTTATAACTTCAATTTATTATTTTTTAAACTTTTGAAATTGATTTAGAAACAAGTAAAATTTTTATAATAAATCTTTTAATTTTGACTTGCTAAAAAAGATTTATAGTAATTTTAAAATTTAGATTTATTATGAAAATATTATTTGCTTCCAAGTAAATTTTATAGATTTAAGAGGCATTGCATCGAAAGTAAAAATCAAATTATTTTTTATTATATTTTCTATTAAATCAAAAAAATATTTAAAGTTTATAAATTAGTAAAGAGTAGTCTTCAAAATTTATAATAAATTATTAAGTGAAAAAAAATTCTATATTATAACTTAAAAACTCAAGTGAAAAGTCATACGATTGTTATATTCTTTTGGCATGTAATAATTACATGATGTGTTATCATGTAGCGTACCTTACCCATAATACATGTACAATGCTTTTAATTGGAAAAGATTGAGCAAGCACTCATACTAATTGGTCATCATTTATTGTGAAGTATCAAGCATGATCATATAATTAATTTTTATACCAAAGAATTTATATTCAAATAAATAAAGGTGTACTGTAATTGGACCTGATCCATATTCTCAAATACTATAAAAACAATAAAAGATGACGGGACCTTTGTCTTTGTTGAACCGTATATAGGCGGACTAATGGCTGACGAAGAACTCTATTTCATGAAATTCGGGTTTGTTTGTTTAATGTAGTTGTTGCGTTGCAAAAAACATAGGAAACGCATATTTATTTTATCGATTAAAAAAATTTTGTTCTTTGTTATGACAATATTTGGAAGGGGATTCTGTCAAACGTGCATGAAATAAATCCGATTGCAGTAATTTATTTATGGATCTACTTATTAAGAAACGTGGCGCGGCACATTGTTTTTACTATTACAGCAATTCAAGTAACTTGGAGAAAAATTTAAAGTTCATAAATATATTAGTAAGTTCCACACAATCACGAAAAGGCAATTATTTCTTTGCACCAAACATACGACGTTTCTTATGCATGAAAAAAGATCCTTGCACGCATAATCTATCATTGAGCTGAAGCCCGTTGATGTCCTGACATCAATATGTGGTTTGTCCGGATGTACAACGCGTTTGCGTAACGAGTCTGCATTAATGCGAAAGTTAAAAATAATGTAGAAAAGCGCGAAGTATTTTATGTAAAAAAAAAAATTATCTTCTTATTACATTATTAAATTATTTTTACTACGTCGGACGGAACGAAAAACTCGTCGATATAATATATTTTAAACTAAAGGGGTTTTTTGAACATTTTAAATATTTATCTAACCAGAGAAAAAAAGAAAAATTGAAAATGAACTCACTCGACCCGCAACAACTTCAAGAACTAAAGCAAATAAGCGATGACAAAGGTAATTGAGATTGAATTTAACGCCTAAATCAACTAAGCATTGGCCAATGTTATATGCATTATTCATTATAGTTAAACAAGTGACATATTACTTTTTCACTGTAAATCATGTAATTTTATTTCTTGCCTTCTACGTGATGGCAAAACTTCTCGAAATCGTATTGAAACGGATCGACTCGAAAATTAGTCCTACCCATATGAGAAATTGCGTGACATATATACTGCAGATCATATTCACTACCGCCGGTCTCGTGATTCTAATAATGATACATCGACTTTACGGGAAGGACTGGACATATAGAGACTATCGTCTTCTACAACTAGCCACGTTAATTATCATGGATCTGTATGTGATTTTTTTAACTGTCATTTTTGTAAGATTCGTAGTAATGTCTTGTTTTTATTAATAGATATATCTTTGAACTAATATATCGTCCGAAAATGAGAATTCCGTTAATCATCCATCATTTTTCGACAATCGGAATTACGCTCCTTGGTTACTATGTCTTAAATCAAACGCAAGTGAGCAGTACTAATATCTTTATTGAACCTCTGCTAACTTTTCATTCTAATTTTCTAGTGAGAAATTGGATGTCTCTCCAGAAGGTATTGCATTGCTATTCCAGGCCACAACAGAGCAGGCAACATTCGTTGGCCTCCTTTTTTACAGAATAAAACCAAATTGGGCAAAAGTAGTACTTCGATTTTCCACCTTTCAAGTATTAATTGCAAAACTTGGAACACTCGCATGGTGTTATTTTATGTGGAAGAGAGATATGATAGGAAACTACAGTGCGTAAACTTTGTATAAAATTAAAGACGTCACCTATACTATACTATATTTTATTTATATTCCCAGCATGTTTATTTTTTATTTATTAGAAAACTCACCATTCGATAAGGCATGGGACATCATTTTTCCGATAGTCGGGTTAATTCTCGTTTGGACACAAATATGGAGCACATATGTTGTTTGGGTGATATCTTCGAAAAAAAAACCCGAAAAGAACTTAGAAGTAAAAGGAGGTAGCGAAAAGGAAAGCTCGGCCACCGAAGTAAGGAGCGATAACGAAAATGAAAGCTCGGCTATAGAAGTAAGGAGAAATAACAGAAATAAGAACTCGACTACTGATATTGAAAAAGGAAATTTTGCTACAAAAGTAGATAAAAACAATGAGAATATTTCCATAACTGTGAGATAATGAAAATCCGGACGAGCTACTGATAATATCTATTGTTGTGGGAAGAATAGGGATGGGAATACGACATTGAGGCGCGTCGCGTAATAATAGTAATAATTGATAATAGCATGTAATGGGATGAATGCGTCAACAAAAGCACATACACTCTGGTTCAAAAAAAATCAAAAAAAGTTCTTAAGCATAAAAGATAAAATAAACTTTTTTAATAATAAATAATAATAATACTAATATATATTTTAAATTTCAAAAAAAAAAAAAATTAAATTAATATAGATTTATTTTTATTTTAATAAAAACAATCAAATAAATAATTTGTTAATAATTAATTATTTTTAATAATTTTTATTAAAATGTATTGTATATTATTAATATAAATACCGTACAATTAATAAGGTTAACACAAATTTATAAAAAAAAAAACTTTATACAATATTTATCAAGATATTGTATATAGTACAATGTAAGATTTTATTTTTATAAAATTTTCAAATCCATTGACATTCATACTATTTTATCAAATAAAAATATCGAAATAAAATTTTGCATAGTTTATTCGATAGAATAATTTTGATATAATTTAATTTTAAGAACTATTAATTATACCTATTCTTATTATAATAAATATGTTCATATTATATAAAAATGTAATCAAATTATAAAAAAAAATATTAACCTATAGTATATTAATTATATTGACCTATAGTATGTTTATTATATTATGATAGTATTTGTAATATAAAAATTAAATAAAATTATACACAATTCAAATTGAAATTATAAAAACAAGAATAATTTTAAAATTTTGTTTTTTTAAATGAGTTATATGCAATCTGATTTAATTAAATTTTTTTATTGATGGTTATTTCTTTTCTTTTCGTTTTTTTATATTGCATTACTTAATAAAATTGTTAGAAAATTCTTTTTGTTTTGCTAATTAAAGAATGATTATATTTCATTCTTGTTTTTTCATCATTTTATTTTTTTTCTTCCTTTAAATCCAGCTATTGAAATAAATTATTGCAAAAATTCCTGTAAAATAATAAAAAAGCATATTAATAAGTGGTTTTATTTTACAATAATTGAGCAAAAAAAACCATTTTTATGGTGTTATTTCACAGTATATGTAGAAACCTCGATTGATGTTGTAAGGGGTAAAATGAGGAGAGTGCTATTCTCGCATGCCTGCATCAGATATTATGAGATGTGACTTCAGACAATAGAAATTGCACAATAGAAGGGTAATACAGGTATGATCTGTGCCGGAATACGTATCGCGAGATCCTACCGTGGCACGACCAGTCGAATTAATGACCACAAAAGATGACACTGTGGGAATTATTATGTGACAATACATTATTTTATTACTATATTTGTATTTAATTTATTTTGATAATTCGACGAGATTAATGTATAAAATATGTATAAATTAAAGTTAATAAACTCGGTTAAATGATAACGCCTCATAGCTTACATTTCTTTCCTAAAAACACCTGTAACGGTTACGCGAATTTCTGTCATTAGCGACAGACTTGCCATCGCCCGTTACAATGTAGAACATTTGTGTGGGTGGTTTTTCGCTTCATGCAGAGGGCCTAGTTTCATCAGTCCTTTTGTAATAGTTAATTACATTACAGATTGTTGTTTAGGGTATATTTGGTTTCTTTACAATAGTTTATTATATTGTTTTAAATGACTCTATTTAATGCTATTGCAAATAAATTTGAAAACAAAAAAAGAACGATAATATTTTTCAAAGACTATCTTAACCATTTTAACAATGTAGAGTTTAGGGAATATTATTTCATTGCAAGTATAAATGAGATTACAATAGGTAAAATGATTACTACTTTAAATATGAATATAGTGGTCAAGAAGCTAATTCATTTTATGCAATGCATTATGAATAATCGACATGGTAAAAGGAAAACCTAATTATCGAACCATTTTTATGCATTATCTTGATACCACGAGATTTAATATTTTGGTTGCTCGTGCATTTTATAATTTGACTATTTTTACTGTAAATATGAATTTAATATTATTGAAGCTTCTAAAGTTTTGGAATAAATCAGTTCATATTCTACAGATAATGAGATAGTAATGAATGATAGCGTATTTCGGCCAAGAAATAATGCATTTAGATTCACAAGTGTAATACGCTGTGCTTATAATTAGCATGATTTTCATTTAGATAATTGAGCATTATTCGTTGTTTCAACAAATAATATCGTTTTAATCGCATACTACAAATAGAAACCATCAATAAGAAAGGGAAGTTTTACAAAATGCTTATTATAATGTATAAATTTAGGAAAAAGGAAATACAGTAGTAACGTGGCTGATGATCAGTTCCGCATGACACCAACGCACCACAATCGAGTTTTCTTAGGGTGTAAGATAAAAGCGAGCAAATAAACGGGATGAAAAAATTATAACATAGTAGTATCTATTTTTTATTTCATCTCTCATTTCACATTATATTTTGAGCAAAAAATCCAGAGAACAAGAAATTGAACAAAATGTATGTACCTTTCGCACAGTACATTGGCAAGTTCTTTTTGCTTTTGTTTGTGCCTTTGCGCTTTCTTTTCATCGTAGGTTACGCGAAATCTGGTTAGTGTTAACGACCAACTACTCGATTAACCTTCTATAATAATACATGCTGTTGTCACCGGCGAGTCGCTAAAATGGCTCACTCTTCACGTGACTATAATTCGAACGCTTGGATTTCGGCACTAAATAAGGTACTGTTTAATCTCTGAGGCAGATTCCGACTTCCGCGCACTTGCTAATCTCTTTTTGACTGTCTTTCTCTCTAGGCGCGTCTCAAGATTACAAGTGTCACTATCTACACGGAGCAAAAGGTAACGTCGCGTCTCTCTCTCTTAAAGTCGTTTACTTTACTGTAGTGGCGTAGACTTGATTTATACTTTAGGGAGTGTAAATATTATGGTCGAAGTAAAAAGCATTTATTTAATAAAGCGCGAGCGAGAAAATAAAGAAGTGTTCTAAAAACCAAACTCTAATTCTCTGATCTGACCTCTCCAAACTACATAAACTATCCTGTTTATATTCCTTATTGACGCGTCCATACCCATTACATGCTATTCCCAATTATCCCATCATTGACACTAATTTTACGCGACGCGCCTCGATGTCGCGTTCCCATCCCTATTGTTCCCACAACAATGCATATTAGGGATGTTAAGAAATTTGTCATCTAACATTGGATTAATATTCTATTAGATAGTATAGACAAAAAGTGGTAACATTTGACTTCGATGGTCCGTTCCTAATTTATTTTAAACTTAATTTAAAAAAAACAAAACGAGTGCCCTTTGTGAACGTTGAATTAATCTAGCTCGGCCAAAATGTATCAAAAGAGTATGTGCTATGTTTATAATACAACATTGATTATTAATTAAGACAGTTCTGTATTAGAATTCAAGGAATTTAAAATCTTTAAAAAAATATATTGCTGAGCTTAATAATATATACTGAATATAAATGGAAATCATAATAAACATTGTAAAAATTAATAATCTTATGCTTCTACAGTTTTTACAGTAGAAAAATGTTGGGATTCAGACCCAGCAAAATGGCCCGTTGCAGAAGATTTGTGGGGAATTTTCCATGCATGGAAGAGTTTTACCAAAAATCCCGGACTTTCTAAGCAAATTAATGCAAGACGCATCAATAATTTGGTCATACTTGTAAACATCTGGAATTTGAAATTTTCATACATTTACGACCGAGAAATTGAATGATATTTAATAATAGAATTTCAATATAAACATGTTTACTGTATTAAGGTTTTAATTTCTGTTTTTTTTTTTTGAAAATTTGAAGGTTGAAAAATAGATGCTATTTAAAAAAAATTATTTTAATAAATTGAGTTGCTAATATTTTCTTAAACAAGCAGGATCATCATTCCTTTCTTTATTCGGCCTCCCCAAAGTAACAACAGGTATATTCGCCTGCACTCTCAGCAAAATAAATACCATCTTTACCATTTTAGAAATCTTATAAGATCTATTTAGCAGCTTGCACTTTTTGTTAGATATTAAATGCCCACTTCGTGTAGATATTAACGATTCGTATTATCATCTATTTTCATTGCATTATCAACCACACCTTTCCGGGCAGCATTCTCACCACGACAAATTATTCTAATCCTTGCGCGTTGCCTGTTCCAGATTTAGCAAGTTTTGTACACTATTTATATTTCTTGTCAATATATTGATCGGATCAAACCTGTCATTATCAGAAGATTCCTTAATTCATTTTCGCAGTCACAAGTACTTCTGACTGATTCAAGTACTTGCATGGTACTTGTCGTTTTTTCTTGTGCGGTACATGGATCTGAATAGTTATTTGATATTTGTACGCTGAAGCGGAGATATTTTGTAAAGCCTATACTGTATACCAGTGACCTCCGATTTAGTAATATATGGACCAATAGTGGTTCAGAATTCTTCGTTTTCTTTATCCGAATAAACTCTATATCTATTATCCTAAACTTGACCAATGCCTAATACACCGGTTATCAATACTTCCACACCACCTTCATCATTCAGACTCAACTTTATATTTTCCAAATTTATTTTCTTCCTCTTTATCGAATACTACGGCAACTCCAAGTTCATCATTAATCCCACCTAAATTCACTGTCATTCATGGCATCTCCAGAATGATAATCCGTTGTTTTTTTTTCTTCAAATTCACTAGCTGCGCAAATCTATCTGGTGCAATGGAATCAATAAACACAATAAACATTTCAATATCTCTTTTCTTGTCAAAATTCTTGAGTAAATCATTTTTAAAAATTTGTAGAATGTTGTATGCAGCACTTTAAATTACTCATATATTGAGCTTGATCGCTGATGTTTTGATGAATGAATGCTAAGGTCAATTCGTACGTCTCTTCGAATCTCCTTTTTTCTGTAGTTTACCATCAAATGTTTGGTAGCCGACAATATATTAGAATATTAATAGACTTTTTTAATGTACTAAATAAACAATTGTGTGGATTTGTGAGTTTGTAATATGGGATTATATAGATTGAGAATAAGCTGAATTATCTGATTCGGGAATTTGATATGCTTAATAGTGAGTTTCAAGCTAATCAAGTTTACAGAGTCAAATGCTTTGGAGGTGTTAAAGGATACCATTGATTTCATAAAGTGCTATTGAGATTGACTCTATTATGCTCTGGCTTTTAAGTCCTGAAAAGTTATAGCCTGATAGTATATTATATCTTGAGAGAATTGTTAACATTTTATTGCCAATTATTTTGGTGAAGATTTTCTGCTGGTTTTGATAAGAGATATTGGATATGTATCAAAAAGTTCATGAGACTAACTAATTTTTTTGATAAAAGAGTAAATACTAATTATTTTCAGTAGTGTGGAATTTGGTTTTGTATGATGACTCTCTTAAATAAGGTCTTGAGGTATTGTTTGGTAAACTTTTCAAGAATAATCCAAGCTTTATAGTGAATTTTTGTAAATCCGGGAGCTTTTTGATTGGCAGGTTAGCAAAAGCTTAATTGATTTCTTTGGATATGATTTTATCAATATTGTTTGTAAAGAGATTATCTGAAATATCCTTTTTTAATTAATACACTTGTTTCGCCATTCACTGTTAAGAAAAAACTGTTTAAGTACTAAGAATTTTTTGAAATAGTTGATTATAATATCAATAAATTAGTCTGTGTTATCTTAAAGCTGTTTGTTATTAAAGAAAATAAAGAAATTAGTATAGATTTGTAATTTTCTAATACTTTTTTGAAAACACTCTTAGGTTTGATTCAAAATTATATATAATTTTGAAATATATCCTTTTTGATTTTATCTAAAATGAAGTTATTGATCTTAAATATTTTTTTTGTAAAAAAATTTTGAAGATTTTTCTAAATAATTTGATCATAGAAGTTATTAAATGAGTTTTTATGTATAGCTGCTACTAAAGAATATAATTTTAATGGTTTTTGTTTAAATAGATTAATATAATTACTTTTTTATTAATTTGACTATATTATTATAGTATTGAAATAATAAAATTTTTGTCAATATTCTTAAATATTTCTTTAAAATATTGTTTTACTCTCTTAATAATAAGGTTTAGTTATTTTTACAATGGGTTTGAAATGATTTTATAGGATAGTTCTATTTTTTCTTATATTGATAACATTTTTGATTGTCTATAGATTAAAAATCTTGATAGTAAAAAATACTCTATTAGATTTATATTTAAACTATTTTAAAATAATATTAACTTGTTATAATTAATAAATATTACATATTGCTTAAATATTTTATAAAATAAATTTTTGCCTGCATTATTTTTATCTTGAGAAAACTGTGAAGAAACAAATCTTGTAAAAAAATTCATGATAAATTATCAAATGTTTGTGAGCATTAACTACTTGCATGACCAATTGTACCTAAATAATTTAGAATTAACTAAGAAAGCCCTTTAGCAAAGATAACCAAATAAATCTTGTACTGTTTGCTTTCCCCCTATTAGAAATTATAATATTCACTTTAAGCACTTTTGAAATTGGTTTAATATTACCTTTCCTGCTATCCAATATTCATTTAGAACCTATTGTTACCTTGTTTAATAAACTGTTAGTTTTCATTCCCACATCAGTACAGTAGAATAATTAATCTTATCTATTGTTAACATCAAAATTGTAGTAGGGGGCATGACGTGACATGTAGGGTCCAGCGCAGTACCGCATGGGGCATCGATTATGCATCAATCATGCATGATCGATAGGTGCAAAGCTTATCGAAGTTTATTACTTTTGCATAACACGATGATAGATTTAGAGATGCATTGTAGTCATATAAATAGCAATAATGTTTAGATGTAAAAGAGAGAGAGAATCAATTAATAAAATATTGATTTTGCAAAATCCAATTGCTTGTACCAGTGCAATAATAATTAATAAACTTATCTTATTTGTCATTTAGTCATCCTAGAAAGGATCCACCGCCTTATAACTTGACAGGGGAGATCAGAAGAGAAGACTAATTAAACCTAAAGAAAGATTAAGATAATTATCACCACATGTACTTTTGGTATCACCAGCGATATAGACCCACTCATCCAATATAGCACGAGTCTTGGTCCAGAGTAGCGACAGACTTGCCGTTGAGGATAACACTATCAAATACTCTGAACCTGTTTATTTAAATAGGATTGTTGAAGAAACTTTTCCGGTATTTAATATTTATTATAATTTTGTTTTTGATTCTGCAAATATAAAAATAATCGAACCCCCCTTTTCCCTTCCTTAATATTTCTTTTACTATTCAACCATTTGAGAATAATTTATTTGAAGATACAAGTTTTAATTTATCTGAACATATTTTAAATACTCCCAACATTATC